GAGCTAAAAGGGTGTCTGGGGGCCATACTCTCGGGGTTTCTCCAGTCTCCTTTAGGCCAGTAAATCTGGTCTTTTTTTTTTTGTGAGTTAGAATTTTGTTCTACATCCTTCTCCAGCTCTGTCCAGAACCCTCTGTTTTGATCCTGGTCAGAGCTCAATAAGGTTTTCATGTTGAATTGGCATGTTTATAAACTCACTGATCAGTCTAGCCCATATACTGGATCCAGGTCAACTGCCTTAATGATACATTTTGGCCCAATAAGACCAGCCTTATTGAAACTTCTCACATAAGCCCAAATAAAGAATGAATTTGGCTTCATGTGTCTCCATCAGCGGTAGTCTGTGAAATCTTAGAAACTCAGAATTGGAATGGGAATTTGAGATCATTTGGTCAACCTCCTACCCAATGTGGATGGTGTTCAGTATCTCTGAATCAGGTCAGTGTCACAAGAGCTCCAACCAAATGCCCCATTTGTGGGAATCCATTTCCTGGTTACAGGGACAGCAGGAGGGTTCTGGAGGGGGAAAAAAAGTGTTTCTTACCTAAACCAAAAAAAACAAACCCACTGTCCTCAAGTCAATTCTGACTCATAGCAACCCTATAGGACAGAGTAGAACTCCCTGTCATGGACTGAATGTGTCCCCCAAAAATATGTGTATCCATTTAGCTAAGCCATGATTCCCAGTGCTGTGTGGTTGTCCTCCATTTTGTGATTGTAATTTTCCTATGTGCTGTAAATCCTAATCTCTGCCTGTGGTTAATGAGGCAAGATTAGAGGATTAGGGTAGGATTGTAACACCCTTACTAAGGTCACATCCCTGATCCAATGTAAAGAGAGTTTCCCTGGGGTGGGGCCTGCAACACCTTTTATTTTACAAGAGATAAAAAGGAAAGAGAAGCAAGTAGAGGGAGAGGGACCTCATACTACCAAGAAAGCAGCACTGGGAGCAGAGCACATCCTTTGGACCCGGGATCCCTGTGCCTTAGAAGATCCTTCCCCAAGGGAAAATTGATGACAAGGACCTTCCTCCAGAGCCAACAGACAAAGCCTTCCCCTGGAGCTGATGCTCTGAATTTGGACTTGTAACCTATTTAGACTGTGAGAGAATAAATTTCTCTTTGTTAAAGCCACCCACTTGTGGTATTTCTGTTACAGCAGCACGAGATGACTAAGACAATTCCCTACTGGGTTTCCAAGACTTTTTTTTTATGTACTTTAGATGAAGGTTTACAGAGCAAATTAGTTTCTCATTAAACAATGAATACACTTACTGTTTTGTGACATCACAGCCAGTGTTACTCTCACCTTGCACCTCAGCGTTTGTAACTGTAAGACGCACATCATTAATGCACAAAATAGTCAGAAAGTAGATTTTTTGCTATTGTCATAAATGCAAAATGTCGGATAATGAGATAGTCGATAAGTGAAGAGTGGGTATATTTATAGGGTGATATGGAGCTACCAGAACCCTTGCAAAGAGAGTAATTAAGTTCTAATAAATTTTACATACTTCAAAACTTTGGATAGGTGAGAAAGTAGTGATAGATTAGAGGAGTAGGTATATTAATGTTGATGAGCCTTGAATATTCATTGGATTAAATTATATAATAGAAACAAGTAAAAAACCATAAGTAATAATTTTTGTTGCTATATAGTAACATCAGTAAGTGCTTCAAATCCTCTTCGCTTTCAGCAAGCAAGTTTACGTCATCTGCATATTGCAGGTTGTTAATGAGTCTTCCTTCAATCATGATGCCATGTTCTTCTTCATATAATCCAGTTTCTCAGATTATTTGCTCAGCATACAGATTGAATAAGTATGGTGAAAGGCTACAACCCTGACACACACCTTTTCTGATTTTAAACAATGCAGTATTCCCTTGTTCTGTTCTAACAACTGCCTCTTGGTCTATGTACAGATTCCACATGAGCACAATAAACTGTTCTGGAATTCCTATTATTCCCAATGTTATTCATAATTTGTTATGATCTACACAGTTGAATGCCTTTGCATAGTCAATAAAACACAGGTAAACATCTTTCTGGTATTCTCTGCTTTCAGCCAAGATCCATCTGATATCAGCAATGATATCCCTTGTTCCATATCCTCTTCTGAATCCAGCTTAAATTTCTGGCTGTTCCCTGTCAATGTACCGCTGCAACCATTTTTGGATTATCTTCAGCAAAATTTTACTTGCATGTGATGTTAATGATACTATTCCATATCTTCTGCATTCTGTTGGATCATCTTTCTTTGGAACAGACACAAATATGGACCTCTTCCAGTTGGTTGGCCAGGTAACGGTCCTCCAAATTTCTTGGCATTGATAAGTGAGCACTTCCAGTATTGCATCCATTTGTTGAAACATCTCAATTGGTATTCCATCAATTCCCAGAAGCTCGTTTTTCATGAATGCCTTCAGTGCAGCTTGGACTTCTTCCTTCAGTATGCTTGATTCTTGATCCCATGATACTTCCTGAAATGGTTGGATATCAACTGATTCTTTTTGGTACAGTGACTCTCCGTATTCCTTCCATCTTCTTTTGATGCTTCCTGCATCATTCAATATTTTGCCCATAGAATCCTTCAATATTGCAACTCGAGGTTTGAATTTTTTCTTCAGTTCTTTTCAGCTTGAGAAATGCCAAGCATGTTCTTCCCTTTTGGTCTTCTAATTCCAGGTCTTTGCACATTTCGTTGTAACACTTTACTTTGTGTTCTTCAGCCACCCTTCGAAATCTTCTCTTTAGCTCTTTTACTTCATCATTTCTCCCATCCACTTTAGGTGCTCTATGTTCAAGATCAAGTTTCAGAGTCTCTTCTAACATCCATTTTAGTCTTATCTTTCTTTCTTGTCTTTTTAAAGTGCAGCCAGAATAGCTCCTTAGAACGGAGGATGGTAAGACTCTGTCTCACATACTTTGGACGTATTATCAGGAGCCACCAGTCCCTGGAGAAGGACAATATTCTTGGTAAAGTAGAGAGTCAGCGAAAAAGAGAAAGACCCTCAGCAAGATGGACTGACACAGTGGCTGCAACAATGGGCTCAAACACAGCAACGACTGTGAGGATGGCACAGGACTGGGCAGCGTTTTGTTCTGTCGTACATAGAGTTGCTAAGAGTTGGAACCTATTTGACAACACCTAACAACGACAACATATGGTAACTTGGTAAACAACCAACTGAATGTCATTGGAATCAGAACTACCAGCCCCAGGGCTTATTTGCTTTGCCCATGAGAATGGAAAAAATTATGAAGTCATGCTAGAGCAAAGAACCAAATCACTGATAATGGAAGTAATAACATTTTTGAAAAAAGAAGTGGGAACTTATATACAGATGCAACCATTAAATTGCTGTAAATAAGAAGAAAATGTTCAGACAAATTCAAACTTGGCATTATCTCAAATGGAATCTCTCATGTCCAAGCCGTGGGCATTCTTCCCATAGGAAAGATTTATGGTAG